AAACAACAACGGGGTCTTCGCGAGATTTTCATTTATAATCGTTAACCAATGTTCCATAAAGAACATTTGAACGTAACTTCTAATAGAGCCGCTGTCCATGGTTGTAAGACTCGGGTGTCTAAACCATAGAGGCTTGTTCCAGACATCCATGGCCCCCTCAGGGTGTATCAATACAAAAACAACAATATTTTGCGCATCTTGCAGCCGAGGTATGCGTACAGGGACACCCACCCCAACTAACCCAGGGAGGCTTCATGTTGTGGCAAAATAAAAAAACCAGGGGACGACCCCCTGCCTAACTGACCCTCCTGCCAGTAGCGCCACCCAAGACTCTCCAGTAAGAAGATACAACAAAGCATTTTGAAGACGGAGCTGCAAACAGTTTGGCCCTTGGGATTTCAAGCTTGAGCTTTTGACTTTAACGCTAAGAGATTGTTTTGTCCCAGCCTGCTCCTTTCCGATTTGAAAGCTGTCAACCGATCAAAGTCAACAGAAGTCCTGAACTGCTCAGAATAATAAGACAGCTTTAACATCCAACATACTGTCGTACTTCAGATGCTGTTGTAAAAAGTGTCTCTCAGCTAAGCATCATGCTAGATCAGACAGATCTCGCAAGTCTCGACAGCGCTGCGAGGAGTCTGGAGAGTTACCATGTGCGCTATATATTGTATTGTATTTATCCCTCGCGAGCGCTATGTCTGCCCCATTTACGGTCAGAGTGTGAGTGTAAAGTTGTCTTCGCAGTTTTCATTCAGTCCACATAACCAGATAAATATTGGGTGTAGTGTAGCCTCTTTCTTTTTCTTGCTTGTAGAAGGCCTTGTTTTACTGTTGCTATTGTGTTGCTGTGTCCTTCCTCTCTGTGTGGTGTACAGGTATGCAGCGTGGCCACAGAGGAAAGCTCATGATAAGTAGTGTGTTATTTCTATAAGGCTTGGTTTTTTGCCAGTGTGTGTAATGGTGTGAACGGTATATACGACGTACTTAGACAGAAATCTCATTTGGCAGGCCTCCTCTGTCCTCACGATTTTAATGTCAAAGATAATTGATAAAACAGGTTAAGGAGAAAAACAACCAAAACTCTGGTGACTCCCTGTAAGTTGGAAGTGTTGCTTCTTCTTGTTGAACCGGAGCCTCTGCCAGAGCCTCGAAAAGGCCACCCTGGACAGCACAAATCAGGCCCCATGCCTGATCACTTGGAACGCCAAAAATTCTCCTTCGTCTTCCTCCCTTTGAGCTTGTCTTCTGTCAAAACTTGCACAACAGCCCCCTTTATTTCTGGCAGACCTTTCAGGGAAGCTTCACAAAACCCTCTGACTGCCCGCAGTCCAGAGTACACACTGCTGGTGGTAGTGTAATAGTATGCATTTATGCTGGCAGGTTTTGGTCCAGTCCTTCCACCCCTGCAGCAGTGGACAAAACAAAACAAAAGGCATAATCCCGTGGCTTCTCTGTGTGTGGTGGGTAATCCCTTAATCAGAGGTCAGCAGCGGGTGGCCACTGTCGATGCTTTCAGATCACTGCATTCTGAGTTTTGTTTGCTTGAGCTTACATCAGCCGGGTTTCTGCATGAAACCTGTCAGCTGCTTCTTTCATGATTCCTCTTATGCACCTTTAACCTATTTTAAAACCTTCACATGTTGTTTTCTGGTTCCACTGAGCGCTTCAGATAAATGGCCTGTGAAACGTCCATGCCTCCTTTTTATAGAAGTGAGAAACTAAAGCAGAAGTAAACCACCTAGTGGACTGTTGTCAGCAAACAGAGTGCACCCCCGAACTTGCCTTAAGTAAGCTTTAAAGATATAACATCGCAACATTTCCACCATTAAAATTTCTATAGACTCTGGCGGCTATGTTCTATAATAGTAGTTTTATTGTTCTAATGTTCAATCAGAGAATCATAATTTTCAGCATTTTATTCCAGGTTTCACCGGTTGCTGTTCAATGGCGTCATAGCACTGATGCAGCCCTAACCTGTGAGCCACTGACAGGTGGGAGAATAAACTGATTTCCTGGTATCCAGGGTTCCTGTCAGTGGGGGGTATATCAGCAGACCAGTGAATCATTTTGTCTCAGAAGTTGATGTGATAGAAGCAGGAAGAATGGGCCAGCGTGAGGATCTGAGCCAACTTTGTTAAGGGCCCCACATTGTGATGACAACTGGGTCCAGATCCCATCTCCCAAACCTGCAGCTCTTTTGGTAGGTTTCCGCGGTCTGCAGAGGTCCAGTAACTATCAAAAGTGCGAAGGAAGGAACAGAACCAGACAGGGTCATGGGGGGGCCGAGGGCTCATTGATGCCAGCGTGGGGGAGTGGGTCAGAACACACAGGCAGAGCAGTCTGTAGGTCTGGGGACTGCAGTACACATTGTTTCGTGTAATGGCTGATCGGTGTATCCGCCTCTTGTGCCTGGTGTCTGCCAGAAGCTTTGTCATCACATTGACTGTTTAATTCCAGTCTGAAGCCACACCTTTATACCCATCCCAACCTGTTTTACGATCTCTTGAGAGATGAGCTGAATTTTAACTCTCTTGAACCTGGATGCAAGGGAATTAGTCCCATCGGACATCTGGATCTTAAGTTATCAGAGAGACAAGCTGAGGCTAGATGTTACTGCAACAGCGCCAAGTGCGATGCGCCAGCCCCACTGCGGACCGTCCGCTTTGTAGAGTCCAAACGAGTTGTGGGAGAGGGCAAGTGAATTTTTAAGGTGGAGAATGCTTTACTTCAGTGTGTTGTTAGTGGTTTGTATCAGCGGATTCTGTTTGTTTTGGAGGAGGAAGTGAGAGACCGTCTGTGGATAATTGGGCCCTCCCGGTAGAAACCTCGCCTGAAACCATGAACACCGTGAAAGGAATGCGCTTAAGCAGGTGAAAGCTGACTGGCAAGAAGTGACGGCCAATGGGTGGTGAAGACAACACCTCCCCTGATCCCACGCTGCTAGGCTTTCGTCCTTTGTAGTCCTGGTTCAAGAGAAAACGAGAGAACCTTTCTTAGAATAATGGAGTATAATGAAGACGAGACACTATTTTAAATGCCAAAGTATAGAGAGAGAAGAGAAGAGAGACTATGAGAAGAGGGGTTTAACTGTTATATGTGATAGAGAAGAGAGAGATTCATATTTGCTGTTTAATGTGTATGCTGCATTTTCGCTGTGATATTGAGTTGGAGCTATTTGAACTACTTTGGTCTGACTTGATGATGGAGTCGCCTGTCATACTTGCGGCTAGCGTTCATTCTTTTGAAATTTTGCCTTCATAGAGACATAGACAGCGTCTGTCACTGCTGGATGTTGCATTGTGCATCTGGTAAGAAAAGAAAGTCTCGCCAGCTGCCTCCCTGTTGACGTTTCGTTAAATTATTGGTCTGATTATTAGATGGTTCTGTGCAAGTGTAATATACAGGACCAGTATCACAGACGACTGCAGGGAGGAATGGTCTTGTTCTCCAGTACTCTCCAGGTGAACATAATAAGCATAACTAGAAAGGGTCCTCTGTCCTCACCGTTCCCACTGCTGCCTAGGTTGCGCTCCGGTTCCATCAGGATTGCTGTTTATAATGATGGAAAGCTGCCAGAGCACATATTAAAAGCACTTTCTGTGGTGAGTTGTTATTCTCAACTGCTGTTGAAGGCTGGCGGAATGGACTTTCAGTCTCAGATTTATGAGCCAACTTGAAGCGAGCAAGTCCTACAGAAAAAGTTGCTCAGCAACAAATGGAAATTTGAACATCTAAATGAAAACTGGCAAGCGATCCATCCTGCTGAGGAAAGCGTCATGTGATCTGCAATCAAAAGCCTTCCAACATTAATAAAGTGGTGAGACCCTGTTTCCTGCAAAAGCGAACCTCAAACTTTGTGAACTTAAATTTATTGCCATACAAATCAATACAAAATAATACATCTAAATTATAAAGATTAGAATAGAAAAAACAATAGAAAAGTGATACAGTTTTTTTTAGTAAAAGAATATTTAAAGATATGTGATCATTTACAGAGTGAGTTTGAATAAAGCATAGTCAACAAGTTCTGTATCAACATACCCACCCCCAATTCTGCTGGCGACCTTGATGTTCGCACCACCAAACAATCACTACAATAAAGTTCATGTTTGATCGCTGGAATGTCTCATGGATTCCCAGCAACAGATTTATTAAAAAGTGCATAAGAAAATAACTTCATCCACCGACTGGCCGAGGGCAAGCATACTGAGGGATAAAACAATACCAAGCGATGAACATACGTCCGCAGAGAGAGAGAGAAGAGAAGGAGCGAGAGAGAGAGAGAGGAGAAGGCGAGAGAGGTTCCCACCGCACTGTCTCGCCCTTGTTCCGTTCCTTCATTCTTTTGTCCCCTCTGGCTCTTTTCTGATCTCTCTTCCCGTGTCTTCTAACTTCTCCATTCCCAGACTTAAAGGTCCTAAAGGTCACCAAGTTTTTCCTCGATATCTGGTCAGACAGTCAGGGTGTGCCCTGCTAATATCGGTGGGTCTGTGACTCTGTTCCAAACTCAGTTCTCTACTGAGGCTAGAGGTCCCATAACACGAGTGGATAACTCTGTCCTTTGATTTTTCTAGGGCCATGTAACTGGGGGGGCCTGGTTTACTGATGTGTGTGTGTGGGTGTGTGAACAGTTTTGGTCGAAGGTCAGACAGTTCTTTTGGAATGTCACTGCTTTGAATTCTCCCGTGGTGTTCATGGGTGATAGTGTTGCACTTTCGATTTTTTTAACCCTTGTTTAACCAGGTAAGTTTTTACTGCATGTAGGGGAAAAGTTGCAGCAGCAGGGAGGGTTACATATTTTTTTTATTTGATTCCTCCAGCATTGCCATTGAGCAAAATCAGAATGACAAATATATTCAAGTTGCTGCTTGTAGAGTTGTGTACTATTTTCAAGGTACCCCCAGTTAACAGAACTGATCATAAAGAATAACCTTGTTATTTTCCCATGTTTTGAATTTGGTCCAATCGTGGGCTAAATGCGTCAACATATGTTCGTTAATAGTGCCCGTTTTAGCCACTGACTCAGATTGTTATTGTTATTAAGTGCCTGACAACATTACGGATAGGACCCTACAGAAAAGTTTTAATGTTTTCGATACCTTTCACTTGATCC